ATTAAGAGAGAAAAAATAAAAGTCATGTTTACAAGAAGAACAGAAAGGAAAGTTTATATTTACAATATTATGAATTTCAGATTTACAATGATCAGCTGTTGTTTTTAATATTAAATGTGAAGGCTAGTAGGAAAAATTATCTAAAAGAACTGAAAAGTATCCTTGATACTTTCAAAATTTCCACAAAAATTATTCCATGAAAGCCTTTTGGTTTTCCGTACTGCATGGTTATATTCTGTAAGAACAGTATGGTATGTATCCCAATTATTAGTTTTCTTAACTCGCCTGAAGTGGGCCCTTACTCTCTTCCTAAGAGAGGCAAGTTCGGGACCCCACCAACTAGCCCTATTGCTCTTGCCCTTGCGCAAAGGACAATTATCCTCAAAGGATGTAACTAAGCACCTAGTTAGACGATCTGCCGCTTCGTCAAGCGCATCAACTGTGTTTATAGGAGATGTGTTCAGATTTGAGGCAATCCTGCCCCGAAGATCAGCTCTGAAGGATGCCCAGTCGGTTTTAACTGGGCTCATGAATAAGCGAACCTCGCCGCAGAAATTCCCCAACCTGAAGACAATGTGCCTATGATCAGACAGGGATGGCTCAAGGGACACTGACCAGTCAATAATCCTGTCAGCCATACCCGCTGAACACAGGGTAAGATCAATTACTGATTGGCCTATCCTGCTTAAAAAAGTTGGTTCTGAGCCTACGTTTGCAACAAGTAGGCCGCAAGAAGCTAGGTACTCTAGAAGTGACCTACCTCGGTTGTTAGTGTCCCTGCATCCCCAGGCCGTATTATGGGCATTGGAGTCGCAGCCTATCACGAGTTCAGATCCAGACTCATGTGCGAGGTCGGCCAATCTTCTAACCTCGGCTGATGGGAACAGTCCATCGTCGCCCTGTGGCATGTAAACAGAGGCCAGCAGCAGTTTTATGTTAGATTTAGTACATACAGTCTTAATTACTGTTACGTCCCTCGAACAAAGCTCTAGAACTGGATTACATTTTAGCCCCTCTTTGACCCAAATGCAAGTTCTAGGGTGTGGTACCCTTAATAGTTCCCATCCCCGCAATTCTAAAATTATTGACCCAGGGTTCCTGAATCAAGGCAAAATCTAAGGACTGCTTAACCGTCCTCAGACAGAACACAGCCGTGGCAGCCTTACTGTGTTGTAGGTTCACTTAAAGGACCTGGGTCATCAGAGGGAGCACCAGAGATAACTCTGAGCTGTAGTTTCCCCAGGCCCAGGTGGATGATCCAGCCACGATCTTTTAGAACCTGCACATTCATTTCATCAATAGCAAGAACAAGAATCTGATGATCATCCTTCTTCTTCCCACCAATGACGCGCCAGTCCTTTGTCGTGACACCAGGATTTTGCCGCTCAATCTGAACAAAAACTTTAGAGGCTTCGACCTTGGCCAAACGCCTGTCAGTGCGAAGGAGCACTTTAGTCGTGCGCAACAGATCCTTGTAGTCTGCTACAATGACCTCCATACTCCCCTCACTTCCCAACGCTAGCTTCGGTGCCACCCTCTTTAGCCAGTCAGTTGTTTCAGAATTACCACAAGTTACGACAAGAGCACCCTTCTCATGGTAAATTTTTTCAAACTGATGCGGAATATTGGCGCCATCATCTCCAAACACCAACTCCATCAGTTTGTCCTGCAACAAGTCACATTCCTCAACAGAGAATCTCGCATCGGGATAGGCCGCTGGAGCTACTGCCAACTTGTGACCCACAAGCTGGTCTCTGTAGCTGACCTTTCCCGCAACGGATCCATCTGCTGATTGATTAGAGTTTTTATTTCTCTTGGGAGGAGGATTTTGAGAAGACCCAGGGTTACTATCGGGTCCGGTTCTACGCATCGATGATACGCCTGAACCTTCCCCAGGAGAACTCAAGGACCCTCGCTTCCTCTTTCTCCACTGTCTGTTAGGGATCCACGTGCCCTCAGCCTTTTTCCTTTCTCTAACAGACAAATTATACTCAGTTCTGGTCTTAACTGTAAAACCGATCTCAGAGTCGGACGATGCATCCGCCAGAGACGGAGAATCGCCAGCGTTGCTGGTGTTTAGTGGCTTGTTCAGGTCCGCATCTAACCTATGACAGAGCTCAAGAACATCAGTTGATGAATTGGGTGGAGTTCTAGCAAGTGGGTAACTTCTCGAGAAGATCACTGGCGTGTCCAAGATCTCCCCAGGTTCAATCTCCAGTGTGGTGTTCTGCACAGTAACAACATTGTTAAAGGAAAGCTGATTGTTGCCCTCCCCAGAATCCATGGGCTTGCCCTCCAAAAAGGAGAAGTGAGATTCCCTGCTTGAGCAGGTACCCACCTGGGGTAATGATTCCGTTTGTTTACTTTCAGCCATACTAAAACAAGAAAAGCAAAAAGTTAGAAGTTTAGCAGCTGAACCGTGACCCACTCACTACGCCTGCTAATGTCCAAGACTGGACCCTTTCGGGGTTGGACCCCTCATTGTCTCCAGCTCAGTCCTGTCACAGCTGCACACATACCTGTAACAGTTGGCGGTAACATTAGCTATCTGGGCCTTGGCCGGATTGGTGATTGTCACCTCCGCCCAAGGCCAGTACTAGAGCAGCCGCTCCCTACCCTAGGGCTGTCTAGTCACGACACAGCCAGTGCTATATCCGCTGCCTTCAGCGAGTGCAGAGGCACCCCTTGCAGGCTCAGCGGTCTTGGAGGAGCTTACGCTTGCCTCTCGCCCCCGCAGCACTAGTTAGTCACGGACTATTTAGATGATATTTTTCAGTTGAAACACAACAGTGATCATAAAAATGTGTCCCTGAGACTTTGCTGCAAAACATTATTTTCCCTACAATGGCTATATTACGATAACCTCGTCCAACTAAATCAAAGTTAAATTCAATATTACATTGTAAAACTATATGTATTTTGATTTTATGAGATTTTGGTTTCAAACAATGCTATCAGAACATGAACATTTATAGGAAAACCAGGAAAATTACAACAAAAACTAAGTTTTATTTCATGTTTACTACAAATACCGGGATTTATTTTTGTTATATATTTTCTTATTGTCTTATTATTCAAAATTAGCCTAATTAATAAAATAGTGACAACATTACAGTTAAAATTTGAACAAAAGGTAATGGAATTGAAAGGCAAACTAAAAGTCTTACGAAATACAAATTATTGGCCTAGCACTAAAAGGGTTAAACCATATTATTTGATAACAAGCCGAATTCAGTCTTCTAATTAAATTTTCAATGCTTTTGTTCCAATTTAAATTTGAATCTACGTACAAACCCAGAAATTTTGTATCATCGTGAACAGCTAAATTTTGGTCTTTAAACTCTTTTGCCTGAGCATTACAAAACTTTACCAGTTGGGTTTTATCTTGATTAATTTTTAGACCGTTAATGTTGAACCACTGTTCCAGTTCCAATAGGGCTTGTTTTACTTTGAGCGGTAATTCTGAATCATTTTTACATTTGACAACTGCAGTTGTATCGTCGGCATATAAGATTAGGTTGTTAGAGATATTTTTAGGCAAGTCATTTATATACAAAATAAAGAGTAAAGGTCCAAGAATCGAGCCTTGAGGAACACCAACTTTAATCTTTTTCCATTCTGATATAGATTTTTCATTATTTTTAAAAATTATTGTTTTTTGGAAACGGTTTGTTAAGTATGGAGTCAACTGTAATACAGATTTTGTTTTTAAGTTAAAAATATTTAGCTTTTTCAAAAGGATATCATAGGTGACACAGTCAAATGCCTTGGATGGGTCACAAAACACTCCCATTGTGCTCTGTGACCCATCCATAGCCCATGAAACCTCACTAATAAAATCTGATAAAGCTTTCATTGTGCTTAAACCCTTCCTAAACCAATTTATTCACTAGCCAAAATATTATTATTTTAAAGAAAACTTGAGATTTGTTTGGATACTAGTTTTATAATTGTCCGGAATTTGTCTCTCACCCTTCTTGAAGAGAGGTTTTAGCTCTGCTTATTTTAAATGATTGCGAAAAATGTTTGTTTGAAAAGATTGATTTATAATTATAGATAAAGGTTCAGCTATCAAATTTGAGAAATTTTTTATCATATTGATAGGAATACTGTTTTACCCATACAGCTGACTTTTTACTTTTGAGATATTTCATATTATTAATAACTTCTTCTATACTCTTACAAAACTGAATTCAAATGGGTTAGGTTGGTTAAATTTATAGGTTAAATTGGAATTTTCTTCATAATTATTAAGCCCATAATATAATGCTTTAATATACTAAATTATTAGTTTTTTTTAAGACTGCACTAGAAAATAAAAATAAATGAATTTAAATACAGTTTTAGCTCTCAGCCTATGAACAACTGTGTAATGTAGTAGCCCTACTGCATTGGGCCTAAATTATTAAGCGCATTAGCGCATTAAAATAAAAACATTTTATATCTGGTTTCCATCCACAATTTTACTTATAATTCAGATAACTCTAACCAACACGTAGGGTCCCACTTAGAATTTTAAAAATAGCTAATTAGAAAGAGTCTAGGAGGCTTGTAGGCCGCCCACACAGAGAAGACACTGAAAATACTCAAAATGTAAACTCAGTCTACACTTTATGGACAAAATATTTTTGTTTGTGTTCTGTGTGTATACATAACAGCCCAGCCTCTTTACAAGGCAAACTAGCTACTATCAACAAATCACAATCCTGAACCTCGAATAAAAATAGTTTCCAATTAATTTGATTTAGTTGATTACTTATTAGGTAGTTTTTGGTTATTAAAAAATAATTAATATTGTACAGTTGAGGCACTATTAAGTAACCAAATTCAATAATATGATGACTTCATGGATTTAAATAGGCCACACAGATGGAAATGTTATCTTACCATTCTAAATCAAATAACAAAATAATTAGAATTCTCAATTTGTTACAGTTTCAAATAACTTTTAAGTTTTAAGATCAACAAGTTAAATGTCATATGTTGTTGTTGGATTTCAGGAGAGTAAGGAAGCTGGCCTTTCTCCTGAATGGATAACGGAAAAGGATTGTTTGAGTATTGATTCCTCCAAGAATGTGGTGTTTATCCTTCAAGAGTTTATTAAAGACTCAGAAACTTTTAAAAATCTACGATCATCTAAGAGTTTGTAAGTAGATTATAATGGAGATTCTTTGTAAAGTGTACCATTTATATTATTTCATGCAGTGATTTTTCTCTGCTCAGTAATTACTCGATAGTGAAAATCTTTATACTTACTTACTTGATCATTGATCCTTGTCGCCTTTGTCGATAACCTACAGTGTGGGATAGATTAAACGTCAAATTAGGCCTATATATAAAAAATACCCCCTCCTCAGCAAACCTGCACACTAAGGAAATGTCTATTTATCTGATTAGATTTTCAAATAAATCTTTCCTTAATAATGATGAGAGATTTATTCCCTATATGAACATTCTGGCTATGTAACATTTTGGCTTAACGAGTACTTAGGTTTCCTGCTACAGGGAGGGCTAATAAAGTGTGGTTTTGAGTAAAATGTCCATAGCTTAGTACAAAATAAATAATTAGGCAAAATAAAATAAATAAAGTTTGGTTAAAATTTCAGGGTGGCTAGTGACCTGAAAAACCTGGAAAACCTGGAAATGTCAGGGAATATTAAATATCTGGAAAAGTTAGGGAATTTTGTCATAAGTCAGGGAAAATTGTAAAAGGTTTAAAATAATTTTAATAATATTGTTAGGAAAGATCGATCTGGTGAGAGTACGTGTGCCGTGTGGGTAAAAACTAAGAAATATGTCTATACAAATAAATTTTGTGTTTTTGTACAAATTAAATTTTGTTATAAACGGCATATCATCTTATCAAATTCAGTTTAATTTTATTAAGGTAAGTTGCAAAGTTTGGATATAAGCTAGCCTGTATCTATAGATTTTATGTATGTTTTTTATATAAACAAACATAAGATATTCTTGAGATAAAGGTTAGTCCTTTTGAACAATTAGTTAGTATTAAAATTGTAATTTTGAATTTGTCGATCAGGGAAATTTAAAAAAAAAATCATGGAATTGTCAGGGAAAAGTCAGGGAATTTTTCAATTTGATTTCACTAGCCACCCTGAATTTATCTCTTGACACGTCGAGTGTGAGGGGCGGGAATTCTTGTCCTGCCGTTCCGGCACCACTGTTGTGGGCGGGAATTATTATCCTCCTTTCATTACAACAACCTTGCTTCAGTGTGAGCTCAGCCTCACACGGGGACCGTTGTTTCTGATTGCCGCTTATTATGCCAGATTTATACTTCAATCCTGAATCATTTGTTTTCATATGTGACTATTTTATCGGTGGAAGGGATCGTCTCAAATTCAGTAGCCTACTTGTAGTGTGGTGTGCTGGCTAGGATTTAGTGAATGAAATGAATAATGATAATAATTACTGCAGTGAAGCATTGTTGAAGGAATCTAACTTCAAAATTGTGCTTGACACCTTTTGCGATATTTTTTGATGGTGTATCCACATTTTTTGTCCCTGCTTTTTCCCTCCATTTGGCATTACTGAGAGTCTGCTGTTCAGTGCTGCTATCTGGTACATGTTATAATATGCCTCTCCTATTGGATAAAACTAAATTTAAACATTTTCGCGCACTCATGCTCGCAGTTAATTGGCTGCTCCCACCACCAGCTGCGGTCAGCCATTGCACGACCGCAACGAAGGTGTAAAAAAAATCAAAATAAAAAATCACTTTATTAAACATGAAATGTACAGGAATACTTATAATCATTGTTAAGAATAGTATTCCCCCGAATGGACTACAAGTCCGTTTTGAGGGAAGAGCTCTTAACATCAGGAAACATGCATTGTCCATTGTCTATAGGCCTAGGTCAAACACAGGTGCACAGTTTATAAATATTGTTACGTCTAACTCTTAAATATCTATCTCTTGGATATCAGGAGTTCTTAAAAAATATGTACACTTAAATATTATTTTACAAATAGACAACCAAATAATAGCTGGCTACAGGAAATTGATAATGTATCAATTGTATAATCAAATGTATAATCTATGTATATTACTATACCATCGTTCTGATTCAAGTTGTTGTAGCTTCTAAATATGTTATCGCCCTGAATAGCCAACAAATCACTATCATCATTTAACCAAGCTTCATTCAGATTAATACAATGAAATGTGTTTTTATACCCTGAAGTGTTAATAGTAGGTCATCTATGTTTTTATTTTAGCTCCTGATATTTTGGTGTAAAACTCTAAACTTACAAGCAATGTAAAACAGTTTACTTATCATCCATAAGAATAACATGGGAATTTTAAATTTACAATATTTTTTTCTCTGTAACCAATAACCGTACAAATACACTTCAAGATAGCCTATACAATTATTTGCTTTTATAACCTCTTCAAAATGATTTTGAGAGAAATTGGGAAATTCTATGTTTTGAGGATCAAAAATAAGAAAACCCAATTTTCAATCTATAAAACCCCGTTCCCATAGTCCGATCATGCTTGTTCGCAAACTCATTCGAATGGATGTAAGTTTACACGTTTGTACCGAATTTCATTCATATCGGATAGTTTTTCCTCGGGATATAATATTCATGGACACATATAAATATAACTAGCCGCCACCCCCGTGCTTTGCAACGTGAAGGGAACGAGAATAAAAAAATAATAATAATTATGAGTTAAAGAGAATAATTATGTTCTATAGATCTGCTCTATGAAAAGTTATTAACTCATAAATAAAAGCCCACAATTTTGATAAAGCACCAACAAAATCATGTTCAAACACGTGGCTTATATCAATTTGGCAGTTCTAATTTTAAGTGTATAAGCATTACATAGAAACTTTGCAAGCCAGCAGGGCAGAAATACTAGTAGTAGAAGAAGAATCATCAAGCCGACTAAAAGATTTACATTTTCTTAATTCGATTGATGATATTGAGCTGTCTTTTTTGTCTTAGAAGTTGTTTACTGTTTTGTTGTTTGTATTTTTAAGAGTTGTAAACAAATTTTTATTTAATTTATCATGTCACTTAAATTTGTTGATGTTTTAATTATTGTATATATATTGTCAACTTATACATGTAAAGGTCGTAATGTATCAAATCATAGGTATACCACCACCAGATAACCGATAGCCTAACTTAGTTAGCAATTTCATTCTGGGCAGTCTCAATGTTAACAATGTATGTCTCTAGCGTCACTTAATAAAGTTTTGTTTGTGCAGTTACAAAATGTGAGTTTAATTACAATGAAATACATTATAGTCAACCTTCAAGTATACATCAATTCCTACAATAATTAAATTCATTTATAGACTAATTAAGTAGTTAAGTAGTAAGTAGTTGTTGTTTTAAAATGAACAAAACAAAGCTTTATTTTGTTAGTGGATCTACCTCTTAATGGTGCTTCTGAATTGTATACCTCATTTTTGTAACTAATACAACTTCATATTTCCTAATTGTTTTAGCTCTGAATTTGTATTGATTCATATAAACATACTTCATATTCCAAAAATTTAGTTCTGAAACAAACGTGACACATTTGTTGCAACAAAATTGTGTACTATCAAGAGACATTCTGCTGAATTAGTTAACAGGAACACTAAATGCTAACCATGTTGCCATTTTAAAAAACGAGATAAGCCATATTGTATGAAAGGGGAAAAACGTGTAGTAGGCCTATAATCCAAACAAAAAATGTTACTTAGCCTCTATTTATAGTTTTGAGCATTTAGTGGATTCATGAGACCTTTATACCTATTGTAGTGAACTATGTCAGCAGGGTATGTGGACCAATGTGCTTGCGGAGCTGTTTGGCAGAAAACAAACCTATCCCCATGAGCAAGAGCCCAGTGTTTACTGCTGCCATGACTGACTTAGTGGTAACAGCAAGTCAGGTGCCCCCTGAAGTCAAAGTAAGTCATGCATTTAGTGTGTAAATTGTTTATTAGTTTTTATAAGATTAACGTATATAGTAACAAGTTTGTGTATTTACTGTTTTGGTAATTTAAAAAAAGTATAGAAGTTCTGTTTGTTCTTGTTCGCTAGACACCATGAAAACAAAATCACTTAAGGCCCCTGAAAACTACGTAAGATGATAAGATGGGACCCAACTGAATATGGTTAGTTGACCAAGATTTAGGGAGTCCAGGGCTGAGGGCCAGTTGCCTAAAAACTTTTACGAGGGTCATTTTACAGCCTGAGGCTTGGTGGTGCGAGTGCCAGTCAGGTATCAGTGACCAGTTTCACAGTGCGGCGGGTATGGGGGTGGAAAGATCGACCAGGAGGTGGGGTGGCATGATGAGCCAAACTTGTTTGAGTGATAAAATGAAACTGTTATAACCTAACCAAACTTGCTGATAGTGAACAAATTGAATAAAGGTTTACTAATCTATTCAATATTTTCAATTGATATTTGGTTGCCCAGTTAAGAAACTGTACCCGGTCTCCGTTATATCCTGCCCACTACATTCCCTTCCACTAATACCCCTCCTCTTATCACTCTTAATCAATCTAACGCTCTGGGGAGTCAAATGGCACTCGGGCCTACCTAACGGTTTCGACAGTTTATGACCCCCCACGGCAAAAAAAAGGATGGCACTCGCTCCGCTTCCCATGTTAGGTTAACTAAATCAATTACCGGTATTATATTAACTTAGGTGTACAATTTTTTAACAATTTACCAAATTCAGATGTTTCAGATGTTGCCACAGATACCAGTTCATAATACATTATATGATTGGTTACAGCTGAATCCATTTTATACGCTGGATGAATTTTATTTTTTTAAATAGAGTTATCAGGTTTAGCCTAATTTTAGATTTTAATAATTACTTGATTTGCTGTTATGTGTAGCTCAATTAAATGTTACAAATTTATCCATGTAAATCATAAATTGTGTGACGATGTCTATTTCAAATTTAGTCATTTTGCTGAGTGTCAAATTAATGTCATATTTTGTCTTATTCGCTATATCATGGATTTCGTTAAAACAAAGTTTGTAATATTAAGTTAGTTAGATATGTAAAGGTAAAATATGCAAAGTTCATTAAGTATATGTGATAAATAAATAAATAAATGCCCAGGGTTTACAATTATAAACACATGAACCTTTTATTGATCAAAATTTACAAATAGGGTTATTATTAATTGTATGATGAAACTATCTATTATCTCAGGGTACTAGGGGTATCATGCCGGCACAAAGCAGACTTATGTGATTTTGATATGCATATGCCTAGTTGCACTCGGCAACTCAGTCGGCATCCAGCCGTGACAACGGGAGCATTCTCGCGCTGCCCGTTTTTTTACAATTTCAACTGAAGATGAGCGCTGCGATTAAAAATACCGCCAGTTTAGAGGTGCGGTCAGTGACACATTTTTTGTTGGAAAACACATAAAACCGAAACTTCTCCTCATCATGTCACGGACTTTGTTGTTTGAAATTGTTACACAACAAAAGCGAAAGCTCCGTTATCGGGAATCGGCAGATTTTGCGAAACTTTTCATCAACATTAGCGACTATTTCCATCAGTCAAAATGCTCGGGCGTCCGCCCTTCGCTTCATCATGACTCATGTGCGTCAGATCGGTCATTTTTAATCTGAATGCACCTTTTTCTCAGAACTTTTAATCATTACGTTGTTTCTTTAAACTTCATACACTTGGCGATAAATGTCTATCGATTTTAAGTTTACTGCCAACACAAAACGTATCACTGACCGCACCTCTTAACTGGCGGTATTTTTAATCGCAGCGCTCATCTTAAGTTGAAATTGTGAAAAAACGGGCAGCGCGAGAATGCTCCCATTTTCATGGCTGGACGCCGACTGAGTTGCCGAGTGCGCAGGCACCAAAATGTACGAGATCGGTGCGCGCCTAGCGGCATCAGAACGAAACATTCTTTACTTACTGGATAGCCCTTGTACAAATTTTAGCTTTTTAATAATAAAGGACAATGTTTGAGGTGAATATGAAATATGGAAAATTTACAATAGGTGAAATCTTTGCTCTTTTACTGTATGGAAAACATATGATAATTCAGGGATATTAATTTAGTAGGATGCCTAGGTGTTCAGATAGATAACACATGGTTTATAAACAAATTATATACAAATTGAAAAGTATACAAAGAAGATAATTTTGGAACATCTCTAATATACGTTGTGTCTAATGGAGAGTTCTAGAGGTGTTATGTCATGGAATTTGTTATATTGAGGTTTGTTACACCGAGGTTAGCATGTTGTAATAAGTTTTATCAAATAATAAGATTCCAACGTACTACATAATCTCCGTCCGTAGAACACACTGCTAGTATTGCATAATTGCACTTGCTTCCCTTGTGTCATTTATATTTATTTAATGAGCCAGGAGTTCAATTTACATTTTAAATGTTTTTTAGGCTGAAATCAAAGAAAAGGTGAGCTTTATGGGAGGAATCTACATCAGCAACCTGTCTGACTCCGTGACCCACCTTGTAACCAATGCAGTACGATCAGCCAAGTATGAGGTAAATCTGGGGCTTTAACTATCATCTAGGCTTAAGATTCACAGATTCGGGATGCAAATTTAAATTTCAAATTTTCTATTAAATTTTAATAAAAAATAAAGATATTTTGTACTTTTTCCAATTAGCTTAGTTTCTATTTGATTTATTTTACTGGACCCTTTGAACTTGTTGTAATTTAGCTACTTATTTATTTCAACAGTTATGAAAATGGGAAAGAATGTCTTGATAAAAAAATTGTCTTCTTTCTTGCAGTTGAGGCAATTCCCAAGCTGTCAATAAGGATATGAAAATGAAATAATATAAATAAACACAATCTTTTTTCCATATTTTATTATCAAGTAATATTATAAACACAGATAGAAGTTAAAACAAAAAAAAAACTCTGTTAATTATTCATTTTTGGCCCGACCCGACAAGGCCCGAACCAAAAAAGTCTGACCCGTAGACCCCTAACATAAACATCTCGAGACTTTTAAACTTGAAATAATAAGATTAAATCCACTTATGTATTCCTTCTCTTATAACTTGATCCGTACTTTGTAGTTTGAATTGATTATTATTTCTTATTTTAACACAGTTTTGCAAGTTATAACGTTGTATTATCAGGTGGCTGCTGAGAAGGGTCTCCCCATCATGAAGGTTGATTGGGTGGATTATGTGTGGCGAGAGTCTCAGAGTTGCAACATCAAAGCCACTGACCCTGAGATAATGGCCAAGTACAAGTGTCCAGTGTTCTTCAACATGTTCATAGCCTGCTCAAACCTTCCAAAGAAAGAAAAAGAGAAAATTAAGGATCTCGTAACAAAACACGGTAACTTGCTCTTATCTTATAGCTTTTATAGCAAGGCTTCATATTTTTTTCATAAACTTAATTTTGTATAGTGTTAAATATAGTGTTATTTTATTTAACTATTAAACATTTTGTTGTATATATTTTCATTGCAATGAAAAGAAATATTACTAATATTTTATATGTATGACTAGTACTGGTCTGCTACAGCTGTGTTGTATATTGTTACAGGTGGCACGTTCACACCATCCATGCGGCAGTATGAGACTACTCTACTGGTGGTAGAGGAGCCACAAGGTGTAAAGTACCAACATGCCAGATCCTGGGACCTGCCTTGTGTACGGCCGTCCTACATCTACGAGAGTGTAACCAAGGGATACGCTGTGGCCAGCAAGCAGCACCTCGTGGAGCCTAGCGTGCAGTGTTCGACCCCCACAAAGGAGGATGACATTGCCAGTATGTCTAGTGGCTATTTGTCATTGAACTATAAAATATATTATCTTGTTACTGAATTTCCTATGTAGGTAATAAGTTATTTATGTAGGTAAGACCTGGGACCGTTTTCATTTTTCTTTTGATGTCTCCAGAGCCCAAAACAATGCAGTTCATACACGTATATATATTAGGGACTGGGTCGACTCTCAATTCCACCGATTCATGGCTTTGGAATTGGAAACTAGAATCGACAACTATAAGTTGATTCCAATAACGATACCCGACACCTCTGCAAACTGTGCTGTGGCCGTGTAGATATCATTATTGACTCCGTGGTCATAAAAACGTCATCATCGTGGTAAAATCATGATCATCTTCTGGTGCCGTGTAGACATCATCATCGTATTCTGCGATCGCGGCAAACTCACAAAAATCTCCCCCGTTCCTGTGGACATAATTTACTCTCATGGAAACGTTGTCGTAGTCCACGATCGCTGCAAAATCATGAACATCTCCCGCGAGCGTGTAGACATCATCATCATCATCATCCTCTTTCACGGTTGGAGAAACTTGATCTCCCGCGATCGCAGCAAAATCATGACAATCTTCCGCAGTCCTGTTGACACTATACAATGTATTTTTATCAGGGGTCTGCGGTGAACCGAAAAAGTTGGTATGGTACTGTACAAGCTTAATTACCCCGTCATCGGTTTGGTACAGCATTTTACACGGTACAGATTGGTTCAGTACAGCATTTTACATAGTACAGATTCGGTTCGGTGCCAATTATAATAATAAATTACTTTCAGTTTACTATAGGTTGCTACTATCATAGTCAACTGCAGTTGGTTCCGAACACATAAAAGTCTTATCAGATGTTTGATCTTCATAATTTGTTACTAGGGTGATGATGCAATTAAAAACCCATTAGCAGTCCCAAATCCATTAACATTTTATCACGACAATAATTGTTGCATTCAAGTACTACCAAGAAATGTTGAGTTTTATTACTTTTATTCCTTTACGACTTTCCCCAATTCTATTTAACATAAAAATAATAGTTTTATGATGACTGTTAAATTTTATCTCTAACTCAGTCAGTATTTTCGTGAATATTCAATTTGCCGCTGGCCATTGCCTACTGCCATAAAACTGTTTATGGCTACATATTAAACTTGTAACTAATCTACAGTCTTATTTTATAAGCTAAAATATTTTATCTTTCTATTGATGAAACCAATAGATCCAACAGTACAAGAAGTAGAAAACACAATCAAGGAATTAAAAAACAATAAAGCTCCAGGAGAGGATTCAGTATCATCAGAATTGATTAAGGCAGGAGGGGCAAGACAAGCGAAGGAGATTCACAAATTGATTCTGGATATTTGGGAAAAAGAAGTGATTCCAAACGAATGGAAGGAAGCGATAGTCATTCCTATTCATAAGAAAGGTGACAAAAAAGAGTGCACCAACTACAGAGGTATTTCTCTCCTCAACTGCACCTACAAAATACTATCAAAGATTTTACAAAAAAGATTGGAGGAGTATACATCAAATATAATAGGTGAACATCAAGCAGGCTTCACAAGAGGTAGATCAACTACCGATCAAATATTCATACTGAAGGAGGCAATTGCCAAATACTATGAATTCAATAAAACCTTTCTCTGCCTTTTTATCGATTTCTCCAAAGCATATGACTCGATTAGTAGAAGACGACTCTGGAAGATTATGGAAAAGTATGGAATACCCAAAAAATTAATAAACTTATCAAAATCAAGCATATCAGAATCTAGGTGTAAGGTTAAGATAAATGGCGAAATCTCAGAAAAGTTTGATGTAAGCACAGGCGTAAGACAGGGGGATGGTTTGTCCCCATTGCTATTTAATTTAGCTTTAGAAGAAGCACTGCAAGAAGTAAGACAAACAGAAGCTGGAATTACAATAGGGACCAAAATAAACGTCCTTGCATTTGCAGATGATGTTGCAATTATAGCGGAGAGTAAAGAAGAGTTGAAAATGCTGGTCACAAAACTCCTAAACCATACAAAGAAAGTTGGTTTAAGAATAAATGAAGGGAAAACAAAAATAATGGAGTGTGGGAGAGCAACCCAAATAAACAATGACAACAATATAGAAATAGAAGGGTACAACTTTAAAAAAGTAAACAACTTCACTTATTTGGGAGTAATGCTGACGAATAATAATGAAGAAGATATGGAAATACAACAAAGAATAAATGCAGCACACAGAAGTCTATCAGCATCCCACAAACTATTAAGCTCTCGAATACTATCACACAAAACAAAACTCCGTATATATAAAACCATTATAAGACCAGTTCTGTTATACGGCTCAGAAAATTGGGTGTTAAGTAAAAAAACAGAAAAACGTTTGATAGTAGTTGAGAACAAAATATTGAGAAAAATATATGGTCCAACCTTTGAAGATGGAGAGTGGAGGATAAAACACAATGCAGAGTTGAGGCAATTATATATGGACCCAGACATAGTGGCCGAGGTGAGAGGTAGGAGAATGAGATGGGCTGGCCATCTACTAAGGAAAGAGGACGACTCCTTAGTCAAGAACGTCTTTTTGAACAATCCGGAGGGCAGAAGACCACCAGGAAAGCCCAAGTTGAGATGGCGAGACCAGGTTAGAAAAGACCTAAGAAGACTGGGAAGAAGGGAAGATGAGGCAATGGATAGAAAAATCTGGAGGCAGTGTGTTGGCGAGGCAAAGTACCACCTTGGGTACCAAGAGCCACGGCAGTAAGTAAGTAAGTATTGATGAAACCACAAGCGTAGTTGTTGTTGTTTGCATAATTTTTTTTTCGTTATGCAAGCCTACTCGGTCTCAAATTATGTCATTGCATGTTCTGTATCTTGTTCTTATATTGTTGGATGTGGCTGTTAAGGTTTAAATGTTTTTTTGTTTCTTGTATTTTTTATTGTGTTGAAGGTACTTTATGCAAGTTAAATCTTATGAACTATAATTATGATAGTGATTTTGCTACCCTCATTGTAACCTAATCAATTTATATAGGCCCTCCTAAATAATTAGGTCTAGGCCTGGGTCTTGTGATTCTTTGCAAGAGCTTTAAAATATACTAAGATGGATTGAGCCTGAGATAAACTAACGATTGATATGTGCAGGTGTTAACTTTGTAAATGAAAAGACAATAATCTTACACTGTGATAATCCAAATTTTACTTTCAAAATAAAACTTTGAAATAGTTGTATCCATCTTATAATTAGTTTTGAAGTTTATAAAAAAAGATGCTCTTTGCCATTACTTCATCAAAACCTCCAGTTCTTCATTGTCGTCTGCTGTGAACAGGTGGCAACTACACTGTCTTCGTACTGAATGCTTTTATATGTTTTAAAAAATTTTAAAAACAATTAGACATTGTGTTGGTTAGAAATGATTTACCAGTTGTGTGAAATTATCTTGTCAATAAATATTTCAAACATGTTTATTCTTAAAAACTCGTATCCTAATTTTTAGGGATGGACGGGATTGAATTTTTAGTTCGGGACGGGACGGGACGGGATTTTTATTTCCTTCCCGATTTTCGGGACGGGACAGGATTTTTTTCTGTGCATAAAAAGAAAGTACTGTATTGCAGTTACCAAAAAAAGACATACGAAATCAATTTTTACCATTTGTGGCACTGATCTATAAAAACCAAAAAATGGGTAACAATTTACAGGTACCTATAGTAACTTGTGACTCGCGGGTCACGGGGTGATCGTCTGTACGACTCACGGTCACGGCGAGATCGTCGTCATGACTCGCGATCACGGCGCGATCGTCGGTATGACTCGCGGTCACGGCATGATCGTCGGTATGACTCGCGAACACGGCTCGATCGTCAGCATGACTCCGCGGTCACGGCGCGATCGTCGTCATGACTCGCGGTGACTCGCGGTCACGGCGCGATCGTCGTCATGACTCGTGGTCACGGCGCGATCGTCGGTATGACTCGCGGTCTCAGCGCGATCGTCGGTATGACTCGCGGTCACGGCGCGATCGTCGGTATGACTCGCGGTCACGGCGCGATCGTCGGTATGACTCGCGATCACGGCTCGATCGTCAGCATGACTCCGCGGTCACGGCACGATCGTCGTCATGACTCGCGGTCACGGCATGATCGTCGGTATGACTTGCGGTCACGGCGCGATCGTCGGTATGACTCGCGATCACGGCTCGATCGTCAGCATGACTCCGCGGTCACGGCGCGATCGTCGGTATGACTCGCGGTCACGGCGCGATCGTCGGTATGACTCGCGGTCACGGCTCGATCGTCAGCATGACTCCGCGGTCACGGCGCGATCGTCGTCATGACTCGCGGTCACGGCATGATCGTCGGTATGACTTGCGGTCACGGCGCGACCGTCGGTATGACTCGCGATCACGGCTCGATCGTCAGCATGACTCTGCGGTCACGGCGCGATCGTCATCATGACTCGCGGTCACGGCGCGATCGTCGGTATGACTTCGTCTCCTGCGTTCGCGGACCTATCGCTCGCAATAACGGCGTTATCGGCACTCGCGAAGCGGAAAAATCGCCGACGATTGGACTAAATCCCGTCCCGAAAAATTCCCGAGTCAAATGTAATCCCGTCCCGATAATCGGGAATATTTTTTTCCCGAAAAATTCCCGAAATTTCGGGACCCGTCCATCCCTACTAATTTTATAACCAATTTATTATGGCTATTTAAAGTATTTTAGAGTAAAATAGGTAAAGCCTATGATTTTTCTTGACACAATCCTCGTAGAAGTAAAAGGTTTTGTTTTAATAATGTGTGGTACAGTAATTGTTGTTAGAAAACCATGAATGTAGGATATACTATCCATTTTCATAGTAATGTCAATGTAAAATTAAAAATAATGGTTTAAATACTGTTCTGAAAAGAAAACCGCAAAAATACGGGTAGCCAGGTACCGTACCGATTTTGTACCGAGAACCGAGGTACAAAATATTGTACCGTACCGAAAATTTAAATTTTCTGTACCGCAGACCCCTAATTTTTATTGAGCAGAGCAAAGTGAAGCTCTTAATACTAATACTACACTCCTGCTTTTGTTTTACAAATACTCTTCAAATTCAAGAAAAATTTATGGATAATTTATTTCTTCCTTAGGAACAGGTTTTGGACGAACGGCTGAAGCGATCTGCACAAAATTTAGCACAGTCATAGTAACCAGCCATGGGAAGGTATAAATCTGAAATGGTACAAATCTGACCACACGGCTTTTCCCTACGTGCATTTAAACTTTTAGAAATTTAACATGGGCCTTATGGGTTAACAATTTACGTGAACCCGGCGTATCATTGACCTGGAATACTGCAAATAGACATTTCATTTAAGTGAACCAGATGTAAGCCTACCATGCACATTAGATACTGCAAATAGACATCTTATTTATGTGAACAAAATGTATCATTGACGTTGGACATTTAATTTATGAGAACTAGATGAAACATAGATTTTGGTTTTTGCTAGTAGACAATTCATTTACATTAACCAGACTCCCAGACTTCTTATAATTGACTTTGGATACTGTAAGTATATATCTCATTTACGAAAAACAGATGTAGCCTAGCATTGACTTTAGCAAAGTATTGGATTAATATGCATGCTCCACTCAATATTGCAAGCAGACAACTGCATTTTACACCTAGTGTACACGAGATGAATAAAGTCGTTTTGAATTTAATTGACTCCTGCGATCACGGAAACATCATCATCGTTGTCCGCGATCGCGTCAAAATCATGTACATCTCCTGCGACAATGTAGATGTCATCGTCTCACGCGGTCACGTAAAAATCATGATCAACTCCGGTTGCGGTAAAGGTATCGTCGTCTTCCACGATCGCAGCAAAATCATGACAATCTTCCGCGCCCGTGTAGACATCATCATTGACTCTCATGTTGACTATCATGCTCATGGTCACGGAAACGTCATCATCGTCGTTCGGGAAAATCATGAACATTTCCCGTGGCCGTGTAAACATCGTCTTCGTCCTCAATCGCAGCAAAGTTATGAACATCTTCTGTGGCAGTGTAGACATCATCATTGTCTTCTGCGGTCACGGCAGAATCATGAACATCTCCGGATCACGAAAACTATTTGTGGAAAACATGTTCACAGCAATGGCGGTAATTTTCCGATCTCAAAGTGACGGATATTGGTATTGGAATCAACTTTTGAGGATCAATTCTTGATACTGATACCAACTACCAAGTATCGGTGGTATCGAGAATCAACAAATCCCTTATAATTAATTATATAGCCTATTAGTTTATCTTTTTAAAGTACTACCCTTTTGAAATGTTACTTTATTGAGGGTCTGGACAATGCTTTGAGCAACATGTTTGTTTCAGATTTTACTTACAACTCTGATCCATCAATAAGTGTGATAAACTTTGACACCAACAAAACTCACATAGATGAAACTCAAATGTCAAACATGACACAAGTGAGTTCCCTGCAAAGACAGCCTCTACGGCCATCAGGTGTGGTAACTATTTTTACTTAATGTCTTTAACGAACATGTAACAACACTAGGAAGGAGCCTATACATCTTAAAATTCAAAAATAACTTTTCTTAAAGTGGGATTTGGTTTGATTATCAACTCAGAAGGTTTTGAATTAAACTCTGGGTCAAGAAATTCTTGTATATCATATAATGCTTTAACTTACTCATACTCCTGTGGCCATGTAAACCCAAGGTGGTTTTAAGCCTCGCCAACGATCCATTTTTCCCTGTCTTCAGTCAATTCTTCTCTTGCTCCCAATTTTCTTACCTCTTTCAAGACTTGGTCTCTCCAACGCAGTCTTGGCCTTCCTCTGGGTCTTCTACCATTTGGTCTACCTGTTTAATTAAACTAGACTCTTCCCTTCTTAAAACGTGGCCTAGCCACCTCAATCGTTTACTCTTTATTAAAGCAATTAGGTCTGGCTCATGATATAAGTCTCTCAGTTCACTATTTTTTCTTATCCTCCACACTCCTGCTTCATGAATAGGTCCGTATATTTTCCTTAATACTTTGTTTTCAAAAGTAATTAGCTTTCTTTCTTAATACTTTGTTAAAGCCCAGATTTCACAGCCATATAGTATTATTGGTTGATGTATTGTCTTGTAAATCCTTATTTTAGTTTTCTTACTCAATAGTTTGCTGCTTAATACCTTATTCAGGCCCCAGTGGCACCTTTCCGCAGATCTTATTCTACTAATAATTTCATTATCTTCTCTACTATTTCTGACTACAGTTACTCCTAAGTATTTAAATTATACAGGGTGTTTTTTTTTAAACTTGCATCTTTATTTATGTAAAAACCGCAATAGATAGAAATATGCAGTTTGCGGAAATCATCTATTGACGTAAGGGGCCCAATTGTTTTGAATTCAACGTTACATTCACATTCCCCTCCTTTCCCCCCTGCCCCCAACTTATTTTTTTAAATAGCAAGGTACTCCTTGTGATATATCAAATGAAAGAGCATGAAAAAAGAAAATGTTTAGTGAACAAAATTTTAAAATTGGCTCATAAATTTGTGATATATTCCCCCCCCTCCCCAGAACTTATTATTTTTTTTTAATAGCAAGGTACCCCTTGTGACATATAAAATGAAAGAGCATGAAAAAAGAAAATGTTTTTGGTGAAAATAAAATTGAAAATCGGCTCATGAATTTGTGAGATAATCCCCCCCCCTTTCCCCCTACCGATAACCTTTTTTTTAAATAGCAAGGTACCCCTTGTGACATATCAAATGAAAAATGAATTTCACCAAACATTTTCTTTTTTCATGCTCTTTCATTTGATATGTCATAAGGGGTACCTTGCTATTTAAAAAAATTAATTTGGTGGCAGGGGGGTTAGGGGGGGAATGTGAATGTAACGTTGAATTCAAACAATTGGGCCCCCTACGTCAATAGATGTTCCTGCAAACTGCATATTTCTATCTATTGCGGTTTTTACATAAATAAAGATGCAAGTTAAAAAAACACCCTGTATATTAATTAATTAATTATTATAATATTATAATTATAATAAATAATTAATTAATATAATAATTAGTTAAATTAAATATAATGCTTTAGTTATTATAAAATCTTTAAGTTTCCTTTTTAATATTCTTGTACTCGGCTCTTGTCTTAAGGTTAATGGTAATTTGGAAAAAAATAATGCGCCAGCATAAGTAGGTTCTTTTGAAATAGTTCCAAATTATGTATGGGTATTGCAATATTGTTCTTATTTCTAGTATTATACTCATGAGTACTTCCTAATGGTTTTAGAGTAGCCTATGTTCCCTTTCCTTGAAGTGGATGATATTTTGATATATATATACATACATCCCATAAACTGTCATTATTTTGGGACCCCGTCTCGTTGTCCCTCCGTCTACTTGTACCTCGAGGCCTAGGGACAACTAGTCGTAGGTACAACTAGACGTAGGTACAAGTAGACGGTGGCTCACCCGACTAGTTGTACCTGCAGATTTTTAGGAGGTTCAACTAGACGTAGGTACAAGTAGACGTAGGTACAACTAGACGTGTATCCCACCGACAAGTAGTATCACCTAGCTTGTACGGATGCGACCAGTTGTCCCTACGACTAGTAGTCTCTACGACTAGTAGTCTCTACGACTAGTGGTCCCTCCGTCTAGTAGTCCCTACGTCTAGTTGTACCTACGCGACACGCGTATTTTGCGTCCTTATAGTCTAGTTGTATCCATCCTTCAATTCGTTACCCTGTTTAATTGATTACTGCACGAGTACTTTTTAATAATACCCTTAATTAAATCAGGAACTGCAGTCGATTGGGTATGATTGGCAAATATTTTTCACCGCAATACGATGTTTTAGTAGTTTTACAGACGTTAATTGGAGGCTGAAAGCTACGCATTGCTGTCCAGGGTCGAAATGGCAGCTATAGTTGTGATTAAAATTTTCCAGCCCTAGTACCGAAAATCGCTTATTTAATTAAAACATTTATATATATATCATTAAATATACATTGATAACCTTAAAGTATTTGCATTGTTTAGTGTGCATATCTTATAGTTTACAATGGATTTCCCAGTGATCAATGAACAATGAAGTGTACAATGAAGTTGAGGTCCAGCGGTTGAAAACTCGACAAAAACTATGCAATGTACTACACATACTTCTCCTTTTAGCGAATTTCCCTATAGGGAAGTAGCTATTACCGTAGGTCTCATGGTAAGACCTAAGCCCGGGACCGATTTACTTTTTCATTTTGATGTCCCCAGAGGCCAAAAACACCATTCGTTCAAATTTTTATATATCTATATATAGATATATATATATATATATATGTGTCCATCCGCACGATAACTTGAGTAATTTTTGTCCGATTTTGATGAAATTTGGTTTGAAGGTGTAAGGCGGGATAAACTTGAATGAGTTCGCGAACCAGCATGATCGGACTATGGGAACGGGGGTTTATGGGGGGTTTTATGGGGTAAAAATAGGTTTTTCCCATTTTTGACTCTAAAAACACCAAATTTCTAAATTTCTTTTCAAACCATTTTGTAGAGCTTAAAAAAACAAATAATTTAGTATATTGAAGCGTTATTATGCGCCTAATTGTTACGGAGAAAATTCAAAAAAATTGTAATTTTAAAATTCCCATGTTATTCTTATGGAGCAGAAGTCAACTGTTGTAGTTTGCTTGTTTATGAAAATATTTTAATCAAATTTGGAAAATACATTAACTTCTTACTAAACCACAGTACCTTTTAACATTTTACATAAAAAAACTTGTTTACCCTCCCTGTTGCAGCAAACCTAAGTACTCATTAAACTAATTCTGTTTAAATAGGGAATAAATGTGATATTTTTAAGGAGACATTTTAGTTTAAATCAAATCAGGCAAATGGAAATTCGCTAAGTCTGCAGGTTTGCTGCGGCGGGGGTATTAACATACACTGTAAATAATAAATGTGATTGGAATATGTTCCATTTGTTTTGATTTTATTTTCATAATTAGTTGTTATTTCGTCACCAGCATAGCAACCCGTTAAACCCATGTTAGTTTTAAACATTTGTAATTCTTTTTTTTATGTCTTTTTAGCCTATTTTAATTTATAAAGGCATTCTGTAGATCGACAGGAAAATACATTTCCACCGATATGCGGATATTTTCTCTGTGATGTTCACGAGCTGATAAAAAGGTTGTAAAGAAACATGCTTGCCTACATTATTGATATATTTTCTCAGTTTTGTATAGTTTGGTGAAAAACAGCAATCGTACCACGGACCGATTTCATCTTCGTCTCGAACTTAAAAATGATCCCGAGCTGAAAAAAAGTCATTTTCGGCCCTAGGTACGAAATATACTCTTAAACTATCGTAGGATCGGTGAATACTAAACTCTATCTTGGAATTGCATACACTCGCTCCTATCTTTAAGTTTACGTTGTTGCCATACAATAAATGTATAAATAAACACAAAAATTCACAAGTTTTGTTGTAAGTACCTATATCATGTATAAATAAAAACATACAATAGCATCATGTGTAAGTGTATTCTGTAAAACTTTAAACAAATATTAGTAAAATAGTTTTCAGGTAAACTATTGTTGAATGAATTAGTTTTAAGTTGTTAAATTAACCTCGACCCGTGCTATATGTTTAGTGGAGTTTGTCCGGAAAAATACCATAGTAAAATTAAATCAAATAAATAAAATCAAAAGCAATTCATAACAAAAGAATAATAGATACAGAATGAACGTAATTTCTGAAAATCGACAGGGCCCACATATGCGAAGCCTGTGCGTGGGGACCAAGTTGACTCAATAATTGGCAATTTGTCATAGTCTTGTAACATAACTAACTACCACTACTATAATTATCAATACATTTTCAAAGGAGAAACAAACGTCCGATTATTTCTAGGCAGCCACAACAGATAACTTTAGAAAACTACGTTATAAGAATTAGAACAACTCAAAAATTAAATTGTTAACATGATTTGTTTAGCCTAACGAAGAAAAATCATGAAAACCAAATTTAACTCCAATAAGAAAAACATGGGGAGCAATTTCGTTTAGGTATAAGCCGAGTGAGATAATAGAAAAATATACGCCGATGCTTGATGGCAAATCTGTGCGTGCATACCTTTAATTTGAGACCTCAATAATAAAAATGGTCGGGTAGCAGAGCCAAACGAATAACCCATTTTCTTAAATTTATAAAATTATTTAATTATTTATTTATTTTAATTATTTATTTATTTTACTTGACTGTTAATACCAAAGCAAAAGCTTCAACTTCGTATGCGTCCGGATTACGAATAAACCTAAAACAATCTTACACCAATTTACCAATAAGTTTAATAAACCAAAATTGCACATACTCCGGACAGATTTCTTATAAAGAGATGCTATGACAATATGATCAAATCTCTATTTAATATCGTTTAGGTTGTGTATTGATTAGTCAGGACATTGATTGAATAAATAAATATTAAAACAGTATATATACTAA